TTTCGGTGAACACTAATAAAACTTTGAAAGTTGGGGTAATGAACGTGATACGGAAATATGAGTCAGTGAGTACATGCTGATTAAAAAGTCAAAAATTTGCTGCAAACATTCATTTTTCAAGTCAGCTGACGAGAACTGTGGAGATTTGTAGTGAAACACAACTAACTGGTGCAGTAATGGGTTAAGAAAATTTCGTATTTCTGATTTACCCAACCGTAAAGCAATGAACAACCTGTTTGTAGCCGGCTTGTGAAAAACCACTGGTTCAATGAAAGACGGAAAGGCTATCATTAAACAAGTAGGAGCATTCTGGGTCAGATCTAAAGAATTTTTCCAGGTAGAATCAAAAGAGCACATTGATAAAACCGTTGAGTACACAGAAGAAGTGAATGAAGTCTTTAAAATAATAAAGAGATGTAGCAAGAACTTCATTTGTAATTGTAGAGGATATGGGCCTATAAGAGAATGTGAGCGGAGAATTTGCGGTTTTCTAACAGCTTCTGAAGGAACTTTTGCCCTTATAACTCTTTTTGTTCGCAACAGTATCTTTCCACTTTGAAGAAACATTTCACTGGTCTTACACTGGTCTTACCACCAAATTTTTTGACAGGCCGTCTTTTGGACAAAAGTTTAATGAAGGCTTGAGACAATCTAAACCCACTTTCCAGAAAACATTAATTTATTTTGCTTTCTTCACTTATTTTATTTACTTTTTTTCTTGATCTATGAAAGAACTTTAATTTTTTTTTTCCTTTTTTAATCCACTATATTGGTAAAAATTGCTTAATTTCTTCGAAATCATTAAAAATAGATTTGCTCAATGATCTGTCCAGGAACACACGTTGAAAGGAATAGTGAACTTGTTTGACCACACTTGGATGGCTCCCCGCGCCGCATAGCTGAGAAAAGTCAACCTCTCACCCAGATAGTGCGATTTCGAAGAAAACTTCCAATGATTCTGTTCTTTGATTTTCTTTCCCTATCCATCGCAATTTTCCTGATTTTACAGCTTAGTATTTTGGGTCCTTCAACAAATTCAGTTCTGAAGGATGCTTTGCTTAACGGATATCCTCGGCTGTTTGGTTGCTTTCCAGTCTTTGCGATTTTCGAGGAATCATTATTTGTATAGTGTGTCAAGGTGAACCTTTTCTGGTACCGCACAACATCGCAAAACCTCATCGTCTCAGGACCTTCGGTGTTGTGTGAATGCCGTCAAAAAATTGATCTACTGAAAAAAATAACGCCAATTTCACTAACCATTCCCTACAGCTTGCTAAACTTTCCCCCAGCTTCTTCCACCTATTCCTTATGACGTCCTTTCGTAAGATATTTGTCAGGTTCAGAATAGTGTGACAGCCGAAAACAGCAGTGTTAACTGCGAGGAGTTACCAAAGTGAGGACCCCGCCCATTGGTATTAGCGTCCTTTGTCTCCTGTATGTGCTCACTGAAACCCAGCTGAAAAGCACTTGCCGGATGTTACGGGATGTCTGTGTTGATCCTGATTATAATCGGTTTTGCCGCATTACATTTTTGAGTTCGGTTTTACTGTGTTTATTTTGAGTAGAGTTTGATTTATACTGCTTTCGTACTGCAAAAGTAATATATTTTCAATAGTCTTTTGAAAATTCTTTTTTTTAATCAGTGAATTTCTTCACTCATTAATATTTGCCGAATGAAGTGCTTATTTATAAATTATTGAAATTCTTGAACTTACCCTAGTAAAGCTTTATTACCTTCAACTCCTAGGAATTGTTGGCCATTTTTTAGAGATCAGCGTTATGTAGAGGTTTATAAAACGTTTTAAAATATGTATTTACAAAAATGCTTTTTTTTAGTATAGTAAAGGAAAAAATGAGTCGATTTTCAGCTGTACGGAGTATATTTCTGAAGTGGCCGCATTTGAAAAAAAGAGATGTTTTTTTCAGTGATGATCGTCTTCAAATAAATTGCTGCAACTTTCAATGGCATTAGAAGCAGCTTTCAGAAAGCAACTGCAGAAGAAAAGGTGCCCAATCTGTAAAGAAATGGTAGCATTTGGGATTTATCAACGACACGTAAATTCTTGTGTCAGCGATCCAGACGATGAAGAATGCAGGGTTTCATTTTTTCTATTCTTAGCTGTAGAGCAGTTTCCTCACAGTCAGTAACCTTTTCCGCAGTAATTCAGCGTGCATCGTGTTTCTACATTTGACCCACACTTTTGACTATATATCTGTGTTATTTTTTTCCCTTTCCAGGTTATTCAGGTGAATGAGGCGGACAAAACAATTTTGGCTGCTAAAGACCTCACAACCATTGATGGTGCAATTAAAATGGAAGAACAGCGTAATTTGTCAGTCTTGGAGGACGCAGATGACTTCGTTGCGGCAGGTAAAACTGGTAGTAATGTCGTTACCTCAGTTCCAGTGCTGGCAGAAGATAGTCGTAATCAAGAGCAAAAAAGTGCTAGTCTGGAAACATCAAACAGCAGCGAAAAGGAAGGAGAAGGCAGTCGAGCATGTTACAGTACTGTGACAAAGATGGTCGATATTTCCGGACAGGTTAACAAGAAACGGTCGGTCAAGGTGGGTTTCACGGTTAGTTAAAATTGCATTTGTAAAGTGCGTAAATTCGGAAGTACGGAGTTATCGTGCTAGACTTCTTCTCTTCGTTTCTGTCTACAGTTTCATTACTTTTTTGGGATTGTTTTTTCTCAGAATCTTTTTAATCAGTATGGCTCAAGTAGACGTCGTCGACATCTCTGTCGAAGGTCAACAACAGTGTTGTAGGATGGTTGGTAGTTTTGACGAGCTAGTAGTGTCTGATGTGTTATTTATTGTTTTTTCTAGATAGGTCTTCAAGAAGAAGTTGAAAGCAAGAAGAAGAGATCGAGTGATGATGAAGGGGCTGTTTTTGCTTTTCCCTCTTCGGTGAAGTCATCGCCAGTAAGTGGGAAACGGGGATTCGCTACTTCAATGTATGTTTCTATTTGCATGTGACTCACAGCTTATACTAATCATTTCATTTTGTAGCCACATTTAGAGCTCTTGTTAACTGTTGCTGAGATTACTAAGTCAGGGGTAAAATAATTTGGTTTTATGAGTTTCTATGTCATATGCGGTTAGGAGAAGATGTCGACGCATAGTTTATTTTTAAGAAGTTAGCGGAGGTTTCTTTTTTTTTTTCTTATGCCAATGGATTATTAAAATGAAAATGTTAATTGTGATACTCTCTTCTCTGACGTACAGTCTACATTATGAGCAAAGCTAGTGGGCTCTGTTTCAGTTTGGTGAGCTTATCGCTTCTATTGGTTGTAACAGAAGCACACTTATTACGATTACTGTTCGTTGGCTTTCTTGGCTGAAAGTAAAATGGGGTCACCAACCTGAAGTAGCTGCAGCTGTTTTTTATGACAAGTTTCTTTTTTTCTCATTTTTGTTCTGTTTAAGCGTCTCGGAACCAGGGCCTTCTGTTACAGCATTATCTTCAGGCACAGATTCAGAATTACTGTCAGCGGTTCGTCTTCTTCAGTTTATTAGTTGTTTGAGCACTTTTTGGCTTGAGATAGTTTCTTAACATTTTTCTACATGAGTTGGATTTTCTAGCTTTTTAGTTTGTATTTCGAGATAAATTGTTTATTTTTTTAGGCTGAAGATAAAAAAAGAGAGGTTGTTAAGGATTTGGATGATGTTGCTGCAGATATAAAGACTTATTTAAGTAGCTGTAAAAGCGAAATTGATAAAGGGAGAAACTATGTACCTCAAGGCGGTGAATCAGCGGAAGAGAAAATGGAATTCACTTCGCCATATTACTTAGTTCTCTTCAATCACATTTTGAAACGGGTCTTGGAACTTTTTAATGATATAATTTTTCCTTAATGCTGTATTTTTGAAATAAAGGTCTTGCCGTTTAATAAAATCAGTTTTCTTGAAGTGAGTTTCTCAGCATATATTAATGACCAGTTTTTGTCTTACAGGTTTTTTGTCTGGAGGGGAGTTCCAGAAAGAAAGAAATTTTATTTTGGGGAGATAATCTTCGCTACGTTCACAAATTTATATGTCTCACTGGTATTGCACTTGATTCTTTAGAGTTTTAGTTTTTAGTCAAGTTACTGTTATGTCAAATGTAATTCCTATATACTCTACTATGGTTAGTTTTCTGCAGAACCATCACGAAAATTATTGTTGCGACTGCTTCTGAGAAAAAGAAACTGGTTGTCTGCCGAGCGCCTAAGGTTGCCATTTTTTGATTCGAAATTTCAGCTAATTATTTTTTAAAATTTCTCGCGAATTTAATGTTTTTATCATTCTAAAATTAGCTTACCAGAGGTTAATCCTATTTCATTTTAGGTATGAAAATATAGCTTCAGACCTGCATCCTTTATTCTCAGAACTGCTAAGAAGTAGTTTTGTTGAATCAAGTATATATTTCATTATAAACTGGATTTTTATTACTTTCTTTTTTCACTGAATCAAAGTTCAAGCTGTTTAGCAATTTTTTGGTTATTTTTGTTATCACATCGTTCGTATTTTGGGTGATGAGTTTGATTTCGAGTTGGAAGAAGCACTGCGACTACTGCAAGCTCCCTGTTTAAAAAATGTGGCAAAGAAATTCAAAATCAATTTTTCTTCATCTAAAGAGGAGATCACTATCAAATTGATTAGTATGTCCAAACAGAAGAATATCTTTGGCTCACCTATAGCTGCACGAATTATAAAAATGTATGTTTACTTCTATACTAACTTATCGGTACGGTAGAGATGTTTGCGATATAAAATGTTTGCTGCTCGTGGATGATTCAGATGTGGTGGAACGTAGGAAAGCTTCTTGCTTTCTTATAAAAAAAATAGTTTTTTTTAAGACATTCACATTTTGATTAAAAGTAACGTAATGTTCTGGAGAGGCTTTTGACTGAAGAACTCATATTTCAGCATAAAGGAAGAAATGGGTCACTGTTACCGGCTGAGGGAGGATGTTGAAAAATTTTTCAACTGTGTTTTCACTTTATTTTCTCCGAGTGATATGAATTCTGCGTTGCTCATTGATGACCCAAACACAAACTTGGCTTCCCAGTTGCTGTAAGCTTAAACTGTTGTGCAGTCCACGATAATGTTAGAAGGAGAAATACGGCATTTTTTTAGCTAGGCTTAATAGCGATATTTATTTGTTTTGTTTATTCAGTTTATTTAACCAAAAAATTATTTGTTAGGAGATGAGTGTTTCGAAGATTGTTTTCTTGAAGAGTACTGTTGATTGGTTTGGATTGTGGTTCAGATATTATATTTTTTTTGTCTTATTACAGGTTTCTTTTATTGGAAGTGAGGCTAGAAAAAATTCGCTTTCCTGCGCCTTCGTCACCTCCAGTCCTGACCATATATAAAGACTTCCACTCCCTCTATAGGTTGCTAAATTTGGTTCGGAAATAAAAGTTTTTCCGGTAATGTATTAATGTACCATTTTAGCTGTAATTCTAGTTATGTTGAAGCAAAACTATTGGAACGAGATATTGCATACGCAATGGGGAAAGTTCACTGGGAAGAGGTAGTTAATTTGGCATCGAGAGCCCGAGAGAAATTCGAAGAACTGTTCGTCCAGAACAGGTAAATTTGTAAACCCGCTTTTTACAATGTGTTTATTATTTTTATTTTTAGATTTCTGTAAGTGTATTTTTCTAGTTATATTTATTCCTACGCAGTTTTGAAAATTTGATTTTTCAATGACGGGTGCATTGCGGATCCCAGAAAAATAAAAAAATTGAATAAGTGATCTAGGTGTTCAGTAGAATTATACGTTTCTTGGTGCCCAGGCATTACTGTCGCGTCACTTTTAACTGCTGAATTTTTTGAGTTACGAAATTTTCTCCCACGCTGAATATTCAAATTTTGGAAAATTCTTTTTTTAGAATTAGTAATTTTCTAAAAAGTCACTGGTTTTTATCACGTAGGCACCAAAGAGGCCGAAAAAAATTTGCAGCAAAACTTACCAATCATCAGTAAAGTTGGACCCAAAATATATTTGTTTGGGAGCAGTTTTATTATTTGCAAGTTGTTCTTTGCTGCTTTAATTATAAATCTTTTGATCCTTATTTGACTTAGTTTACTTTGGTAACGTGCCTTTGTGGCAAAATAAAAATTCTAGCTTTTTTTGGCTGCAGTATGCGTGTAGTTTATTTGACAACTATTCAGGTTATGGTGTGTACTGGAAATTTTACTTGCATGAAAGAGTTCCATTTAACGCAACATTTTGTTTAGTTTAAAATCACTGTAACTATAGTAGACGTTTTTTTGGTGGATAGTACGCCGAGATGGTGTTAGATGAATGCATTGTTGGCAAAGATTTTGTACATTTATATTTTGCTTTCAGTGAATTCTACAGAAATCTTCCACACCATTTGCGACATTGTACGGATTGCTGGGTTTATGCCAGGTGAGGGGATAATTTGGTTAAATTTGATCTTTTTTGATCTCTTTTGTCTTGTGTTATGTTGACTCATTTCAGGTGTATTTCGCATGGA